TTTCCACTAAAAGAAGACACGTTTTTCAAACTCCATATTTAAAATTAATAAATTTAATTCAACACAAATATTTAAAAAATATAATGCTTAAATAAAAAAAAAAAATGAGACTTTACTCTGACTGTGAGATAATTTCGATTTTAAATGATTTTTTTTTTTTCAAAAATGTGAATTTGTATTAAATGAACGTCATCGAATTTATGAAGGGGAGAGCGGGGCCCAGGAAAACGGCACTCACGCTGTCCGTTGCGCGTTGGAGAAACCCAGTCGCGGTGGGCCCACTCCAGACCCTCTACGGGGTCCGAACGAACTTGTGGACAAGGAATTCCCTCTGACACGTGGCCACCGTCTGTTGGATTCTCTGTCGACAGATGGCATCTGTAGCTGTCGGTTCATTTTGTGGGTTCTGTCTCTCGCATCCGGGTCGTTTTCGTTTTGGGCCAACCCGCCCAGTTTTTTCACCCGGTTAGAGTCTTTCTTACGCTAAATTAATAAAAATATTTATAAATTTTATATTTTATCTTACATATTTTTAAATCTTCCAACCCTTTCAATACTCTTCCATATATGAGATGATTTGTAAAATAAAATTTTAAAGGGTATGGTGTTGCTCAACACACTTCATCGGTCCTCATCTTCAACATCGACTCTACTTAATCTGACCAATCATAAAATGTGAAGATTAAAGCTCGGTTCAGGGTCGAGTCCAATGGGCTTGAACCATTGTTTGGGCTTAGATCGGGTTGACCCACCTTTTAATAATCAAGCATAATATTCGAGGTTCATTAGATAGGAGTAACTATTATTTTTTAAATTATTCTCTAAGATTTTCTTAATTAAAATAGTATTAAAATTGATTGAATATTTTTTTTAATTGAGTTTGTTTTAAAATTTTAGCATTTTTATTATTTTTATCCGATAAAGTTACTATTATTATAGAATTTTATTAACTTGTACTTGAATCTTCTGTATTATTGTAATTATTGACATACAGTTATCCGATGCTTATTTTCCACATATCGTCATTATTTCTTCTCTAGTAAAAAAAGTTCACGTAGGTTTTCTACCTCCATGCAATATTGCTTCCCCTTTCACCCATTGTGGAAAGTTCTCTATGGTAAGAGTTTGGACCGTCTCAAGTAGAAGTTTTTTTTTTTTTTTTTTTTTTTTTAATTTTCAGACTTCCTAACCATTGACGATCTGTTCCGAGACTTTAAAATACCCCAAACAAAGTTCATATTTTCATTTCCGGGCTTTTATTATGAACTTGAACACCAAATGCCTCAAATCAAAGAGTTAGACGATGTAGTATGTGCAAACTCGAGCAATCAAACTAAACTAAAAAATGGTATCCTGGGCAATTTCAATAATCGAGTTCAATTGAACAAATGATAGGTCAAGATCATATTGTTCATTGGGAATTGAAGAGGGGAGAACGAGCCGACATCGAACGATTCATTTCTCTTTCTTGTTATCGTGGAATTCGTCATCAAGATGGGCTATATTTGCTCGAGAATGGGGAGTTGCTTTCTTTATATATATATATATATATATATATATATATATATATATATATAATTTTATTAATTAAAATTTATGTTAAAAAAACTGTTTGTTTTTTCTATTTTACATTTAAAGGTCCTCTTTAAACTCATAAATTCAAATGGAAAATTGGTTATTAAAATTTGTAAAATATATTATTTCACAATGTTAACAAACCAACAATGGTAAATAACATTATTTAAATATCATTTTTCCTTTTAAAATGTCCCCCAATAGTAAGAAAGTTATCACATGTTACCTACCGTGTTTACTTTTAACTCCAACCAAATATTAGGAAGATAATTGAATTATCAACTTTAATTGTATCGTAATAATATTTAATTAATATAATGTTTCTTAAAAAATCAATTAAATAATTCGCCCTTTAAAATCCATTAATACGTGAAATGTATTATTTTTTTAAAATTATTTTATTTTAGGATTAAGAAAATCTGATTGATTAGAACTTTTTTTTTTTGCCGACCTCCATTAAAAATATGAAGAAAAAAAAAAGGCTCCAATGGTATGATTACCTCGTCACCCCAAAATGAAATAAGCGATCTTGTAGTTTTTTGTTTGTAAAGATAGGTTGTTATGTGCTCGGTTTTATTTTCCCATTGAAACGGAACGTGAACTGTTTTATAACAGCCGTTTATAGGAAATTAACTTGAATTAGCTTTTTGAGCATAATTCAGATACTGATAAAATTTCAAGTCCGATCATTAGCATAATTCAAATGTTTTATAACAGAGTAAGAAATGTTTTGTTTCCCTGTCCAACGGATTTGTGAGATCTCACAAGGCTATAGACGGGAAGGAAACATTTCTTACAACAATGTGGAAATCTATTCTTCTTATCAGACACAGTTTAAAATATTGACAAATCTCACGCGATTGGATAGGGGAATGAACCATTTCTTACCCGGGTGTAGAAACCTCATTTATCAGACACTTTTAAAATGTCGAGGGGAGCCTGGAATGGAACGTACAAGAGGATTTATTACATTTATTTTGGAAAAAGAAAAGATATCTAAAAATAACATTAAATAAAATTGAAAAAAAAAGGCAACTTTAATTTGAAGCTTAAATTCTTAAAATGAAGAAGAAGAAGAAAAAAAAAAAAAAAAAAAGAGACTTAGTTGTCGTCCATTGTTCAAGCAACATCTTTTTATTGTGTTGCTTGTGCTTAAAAACTTTAAATTCAAACAAGAATTTTAAAAAAGAAATTTGTTTTTTTTTTTATTATTCCAAATAATAAAAAAGAAAGAGAGAAAAAAGCATAAAGTCAATTATGTAATAAAAAAGAAAAGATCTTGAAGGACACGACGACCATATAGTGGAAGAAAACCCGCTTAATAAGACAGTAAGCCTAATTTTGCTCAAGCCCACTTTGTGGGGGCCCACACTTCCATTGCTTACTACTGCCACGTGTTATTACCATAACCTATCCACCTAAATATTATTACTATACCACCACTATTCAAACTTTATTCTCAGCATTTTATTTTTACCTTTTTTACCCTTTTAACATTTTAATTTATATATATATATATATATAAATATTCAAATATATTCTTAAAAACGGTACTCTATGATTTTGAAATACAAATAAATAATGTTTTTCTCACCTTAGTTTCAGAGATATTTTATATATTATTGATTAATTTATTTAAAAATTAAATTTATGGTCAAAAGTTTTTTTTTAAAAGATGTAAAAACTCTATTATTAAAAAAAAAGAAAAGAAATAGGTGTTTTTATCGAGGGATAGGATGAAAAAGATATAAAAACTATTTACGATATTATTATAGGTTATTTCTCGAGTGTACGTATAGGACCGATATGTATATGTGCTGTCAGAATTAAGGGTATTTTGGTCATTTCGTCAAATGTTTTTTTTTTAAAGAAATTAAATTACATTAAATTAAATTTCTTGAATTATTATTTTTTTTTAAAAATAAAAATTACACGAACCAGTGAACCCGGACCCGGATCTCTGAAACTCTCATCGCTGAGAGAGAGAGGAGAGATAAAACGGACCCTAGAGGTTGAAGAAGAAGAAGAAAAACCAGAGACAAAAATGGAGATCCAAAATTGACAGTCGGATTTCGAAGGATGTGGTAGTCATCTTCCCGAGCTTAACGATTCCTTTTTTCCTCTTGACAATCTACCATCTCCGGCCATTTTTTTTTTCTTGATCCCCTTGTCTTATTTCGGTTCGAAGATTTTCCGCTTTCATCCATGCGGCGAGGCAGACCCTCAGATCCATTTACAGCTACAGAACTACCAAAATTGACAGTTCATCCTGAAAATCCTGTCAAAGAGATACGATACAGAGGCGTTCGGAAGCGTCCTTGGGGCAGATACGCCGCTGAGATCAGAGATCCCTGGAAGAAAACTAGGGTTTGGCTCGGTACCTTTGATTCAGCTGAAGAGGCTGCTCGGGCCTACGATAATGCTGCTCGGACCCTCCGTGGAGCCAAGGCCAAAACTAACTTCCCTCTACATCCATCCACGATTTCCATTCAACAACAAATTCCGTTCTACCAATCGCCGCCAGATTTGCACGATTCGAACGGTTATGGTGCCAAGATTGAGTGTGTTCAGGCTAATAGGCCTACGTCGAGCAGTTTGAGTTCCACCGTGGAGTCGTTTAGTGGACCGCGGATTTCTAACCCTTTGTCGTCGCTGTCTATGGTTCGCCGGAGGCCGGTGCAGCCAGTTTCGCCGGACGACTGCCATAGCGACTGTGATTCGTCCTCCTCGGTTGTTGATGATGATGAGGTCTGTGTGCTCGCTTCTTTCCGTCGAGCCTTGCCCTTCGATCTTAACTTACCGCCTCCCATGGACGTCGTGGATTTAACAGGTGACGATCTTCAAGCTACTGCTTTATGCCTCTGATGAGTGATGCGCCGATCTTGCTTTATATCATCGTGGTTTAAAAATCCTCCTCGTTTTTCTTTCTTCTTCCACATTTCTTCTGTTTTTTCTATCTTATTTTCTCGGGAAAAACACTATAACTGAAAATTTTCAAATATGGTGGTAAGTTGAAGAGAATTTGGTCGCCGCCCTCCACCCTCTCTCCCCTGTTGTCTGTCGATCCCTACTTTGTTGTTAGACTTATTAGAAGAACTGGGTTCCCTTCGACGACCATGGGCTATATATTGTTGTCAGATCATTGAAGCTTTTTAGCATCGTTTAAGCTGCTGTGTATCTGGGATTTTCGTTTCTTGATCCGATTCACATCATGAAATCCTTACTACTGTACAAATATTTACCCATCTAATTTAAAGAATCTGCAGTGTTCTAATCGCCATGAAACTTTTCTTACCCATCTCTGGTTCTTTTCATATCTATTTGAATTGCATTGTTCAAAGTTTGTTTGATCTGAAAATTTGTTGGAAGACTAGAACATTGAGTGTTCATGCTATTTGGGTTTGCAAATATTGAATTGGGGGAGATGGGCATTTAGGGTTTTTGTTTTTGATAAGAAACATTTATTGGCACATGTGATATGCTCGATTCTGATCTCAATATGCCCAAAACCCAATAGAGGCGGGGGCACCCTTCCCGAGCTTCCCCCCGCTTTAGGCAGAGGCCTTCACCAGCTGCTTTCCTTCCCAATGCCATGTGCTTGCAAACCTAAATGATTCAAAAGGGTTAAAAACTGATTCAAAGGGTTTTGTTTAGCCAATTTCCCTAAAGTTACACGTTTTGTTTGCATCTGTTCATGATTTTCATGGTGGGTTTGGTGTGAACATAATCATATTGGTCTCTCAGGTGAGGATGGTCGGCCCATGCTCGTATAATTTATAGCCATCATCCATCTCTGTTAGCTCTTTTTTTCGTGTTTCCTTTCTTTAGAGGTGAAATATATTGCATTATGAATAGAGTAAATCATAACTTGCTACATTCAACCTTGTATTGTATTATGAGCTTGTGGTTAAATTTGTTATTTAATATAGAAAAATGAAGAGGAGTGAAAAATTGAACAAAATCTTTGAGATTGATTTGAAAGGAAGGCCCAGCCAATGACTATCAGGCAGGTGGTATGATTTTCTTCACTTTTCCTTTTTCTTTACTTTGAAACCTCTCGATTTTAGCAATTATGATCACTTGTTCTAATATAACTAATATGATTGTCGTAAGAAATTTGGACTTTGTGGACAACATTGGCATATGTTCAAGTTTAGGGTCATGTTTGTGAGAAGTGCTTTAGAAAACGTGAGCGAGTAAATGCGTTGAAAATGAGTAGGTAATCGGGTATGAAGAATTGATAACTAATCATGTCCCACACCCTCGTATTGACACAACAATAACAATAAAGACCTATCTAATATGAAAGTAAGTAAAAGAGAGTTTGTAACGGATATGTAATCATAGATAACATGGCTGAAGCATCTATCGCGCTTTGGTCAAATATAACCGTGACACATGGGCGATGGCGGGTGGTGCTTTCCATCTTTCCTTCAAAGCCACACCAATGATTCCGCTCTCTCTTCCATCCACCAATTTGTTTCAATTCTGACTGTTTGGTGACCATTCTTCCTACCACCTAACTATGTTATCCTTCTCATTCTTCTTTTTCTTTTCTTTTGGATTTTATATTGTCTTTCAACTCTCTTTCTCAATTTTGAATTTTGAATTTAGTTTTAAAATATTATTTGAGGTTAGTGTATAATTAATTTTTTTTAAAAATACTCTTGAATTTTGATTTTTTTTAAATACCTTTTAATTTTAAAATACAAGTTTCATTAATACTCTTAAACTTATAATAATAATAATAATAATAATAATAATAAATATCTTTACCGATAGTACCACGTTTCAAAAATACTCAAATTTTCAAAAGTAACATAAAAAAATTTTGGATATACCTATGAGGTGCCAATAAAGAGTTTTCATTTATATATTGATAATAAGAATTCTTTTGAACGTTTTTAAGGTAAAAATGTTACTGCTACTTTTAAAATTTAATGGGCGTTTTTTAAACATAATACTAATGGTAAAGATATTTTTTATTTTTTATTTTTGAAAGTTTAAGAGTATTTTCGAAAAAGGTGATTTAATCCAAAACTAGCATAAAAGTAATTTTTAGATTTTTTTTTTAAAGTTAAAAGATATTTTTCAGACTTTTGAAAATTTAGGGTCGTTTTTAGATTAAATACAAAGTTTAAACATATTCTTTATCTATTTACCCTTAATTTGATGTATAATAGGTTTCTTAAGTTCGAAAAGACGGCCAATTATAATTTAGGGTATTAATTTGGCATAAGTAGGTTACGTTAATGGTGCCTAAACTTTAAATAGTATATTAAAAATTTGTAGATTTATTATATATAAAATCAAAAATTTAAAAACTTATTATAAATTAAATTGGAATTTTAAAATAATTTATATGTTTAAAGATTAAAATTTTAATTTAACCTTGCTATTTGGCCCAAAACTTCAACAAGTTTCAACTTTTGGCAGACCGGGAATTGGTTACTTGTAGAGGAAGAAAGAAAGCATTGGAGCATCGAAGTCTCCTCGAATTATTGGGAGGAAATCGTCAAAATCCTGAGTATTCAATCTGGAAATCAAATCTCGACCACTATGCAGAGAATAAAGGCCTCAGGAATTTCGATTGTAAGCTCGATTTCAGCAGCTAGGTTGAAGAGGAAGGCCGTCAATTCATGGACGGCCGTTCAGGATACTTTCTATTCCACCAAGGTGACTGAATTTTCGGATTTTGATTTCGGTATTGTTTGTAGGTTATAGAAACTCGGTATTCTGGATGCTGTTTGAAGTATAATCGTTTTCATCGAGCGTTTCTGTTTAATTGTATCTGAAAGATGTAATGTTATCAAGCCCTATGTTCTCCATTGTTTACATTGTGGCTTTGATCTTGCGTGTTTTTAGAATGTATTCGAAAGGCACAGGGTGGTTTTTACAGTAGGGACTTCCATTGCTTCAGTTGCAACTGCCTGGTTTGGTGAGTTTTCTTGTAGGTTTTCGTTTAAGTTTTGCATTTGATTATCGTTGTACTGTTAAAGAATCAGTAGGCTTAAGAGACCGAGAGTTAGGTTACGATGAATTCATTCTACTCAACTCATATTCTTTTGATACGTATATTGCTTATTTGTTTTACTATGATATTGTAGCTCTTACTCCCTATAAACTGGAAGTTGTATGGATACACTTTGGAATTTTTTGTTAAGCAATGCGTTTGGTTTACATTCTATTCCAAATCTAAATAAAATGAATGAGGAAGGATTGATATCTTAAGTTGAGGATCAATGTGAAACATTAGGACGAACTATTGGGTTTTGTTTGTTGGAGTCAATAAATTGTGTGTTGATTGTATGCTTAAGAGTTTAGCAGAAGTTAAAGTTTCATTGATTTTGCTGCAGGGTACTCTTTACGCCACTATCATAACATCCAAGTTGACAGACGGCTCGAATCTATTGAGGAAGCTGTAAGCATCTTCGTGTCAATCATTTTATTTATTTGAATGTAATCCAGCCATAATTGCATAGCCATGACTTTTCATTTGAATCCTTTTCAATTTTGTTCTCTTTTGTTTCAAAGAATTTAATGGCAACTAAGCGCAACCGTCCCAGCACTTTCTGCGTCCATTTTTCCTTCAGTATATGCATGTTTGCTTCATTTTAAGCACTAAAAGTTTGAAAGGAGACGTGAGTGATCGTTGACCCTGCCCCTGATTTTCTAAAGATGAAAAAGGAAAAGAAATGGCTTTGGAAGAGTCAAACAGTAGGAGAATGCATTATAGAGTCACAAATAAGAAAGATCACTGGGTAAAGACTACAAATTAGACAAAGAGAGCTCCTTTAGCCGAGAAATTTTTGATCTTGTCAAGAGATTTTATCGCCCCTTTGATTGGGTCAATCTTCTTTCTCTTGGAAGTTTAACAGCTTGTTTCCATATGGGCCTCCTCTTCAAGTCCTAATCTAACATATCCATCATCCAAGGCTTAACAGATTTTTGTACTGCTACTCCTATGCCCCCTCTTTCTTTTGCACTTGAGCGCTCTCGTTATGTCATCTCCCTACACTAATAGTGGTTAGATTCTCATTCTTCGTTTTTGTTCATGGCAGATGAGAAACACACATCAACTTGAGCATTCTGAACTTGCAAAGGTGGTTAATCCTGGACATATCAGCGTGCCTGCCTGCTTTGCGAATGCTGGAACTACCTTAATTATTGGGTCTGATTCTGTTTTCTAATTCCTTTTAATGATGCTATCGTTTTCATTTTCGCGTGGACTTCAAACTCTCTTGGATGTTTAGTTCCATTATTTGGGGCCGATAAAATGCTGAAAAATCCTGTATCCTCCGAATGATGTGATGATCACCGGTAGTTGTTACTTGTATAGTTTTCTATTTTCATTACTTTATAGCTCTATCATCTAATTCTGAACTTCAATACACTACTATCTGAACGTTTATTATCCATGCTCGATTCTCTAAAGTTGTGATTTTCTGATTCGATTGTGCAGATATTGCTTGGGATGGCGAGGTGGAAAACGGCATGCGAGCAAGCAATTGAGAAGAGAGCAGATGAAGTTGCTAGGGGAGATACAACCCAGATGGCAATTTCTCACGAGGCTAAAACCTAAAGAGCTGAACTTTCCATTTAAGAGATCATCGGGCAAACCTGGGGTGCAAGAAAGTGGCAGCCAAAATACGGAACAAAACTCCAAAAGATGCTGCAGCACAAGAACATCAGGGAGCTAGCTGTTCAGCGGTAAATCTCATTCTTCTCTTATCAATTGAAAATAGATAGGAAATGCGAATTCATTTTTCAATACTTTGAAACTTATTCAACGTTATAAGTTTTCATTTTGTTTTCAATAGTTTCATAAAATTGTGATCAAATAACTTGTGAAGTTTCACGTACATCGACATCATTAGTCACAATTTTGGGATTTTGGAAGGAAGATTAGTTTCGTTGGCACGAGTGTCAATGGGGTAATTTTTGTTTTGAGCTGTATAACAGTGGTAGGGATGTAAAATTGTGTTTACTCCCCACACTAGTTTCAAGGACTGCGATGGTGAATACATTCTTCATCTTTGTCCTCGTTTTTGGTTCCTATCTTATTTAACTCGCATTTAAATTACATAAAGTATTGTCGTGAATCAAATTGAACCATTCATGTTTTGTTAGTTCAATGTCATGAACGTATTAGAGGAAACGAACATGCTCAAAATAGGTCTTTTTTCGACTTCAATGAGATTGATGTTATAGTAGCTCCATGGATCCGCCGTTTGAACGATGATATAATAGGAACTTGGATTTCATTAAGATAAAAGAGCCTCTAAACTCGATGCTTATAACATAGGAAATAAGAGCTAAACCAGCAGCATCTTTCATTCATGAAGCAACTGACCTCTATCTCTCAAATATAGATGTTTGGCCTGAGACTGAAGTGACTCTGTGCTGCAACGAAAGGATCGCGATCGACATCATCGTTAGCTGCACGGTAACACTTTTTCCTTTTCGATGGCAGGAAGAGGTCTTCACAGAAAATGGCACATGGAGGTGAAGCTGACGTCTCGTGTTCTTCGCCTTTCTTACGGTGTGAGGACACCAAGATTTCCTTGAGCTTCCTGAAACATTTCACAAGCTCCTTCATCCTCACCAAGCTGCCTGGTTGGCTTGTCTGGTTGGAGCCTCTTATACCTTGAGTGCCAATCACTGAATCACGCATAACTCATGGTGGTGCTTATGCTTATTTCATGGAAGCCTCAAGTGTGCTTTTATGTATGCCTCCTCTAAAGTAGTTACTTCATGCATAGGTCGGCGCTTTCCTAGCTTTCTTTTGTACGGAACTTGGAGAGTCGTTTATAAAACTTATGGTTTAAGTTTCGGATGGCTTGAGCTTCCTAAAAATAAAAATATTTAATTAGGAAGATCATAAGTGTAAAAAATACTATCTCCATTGAAACGAATTATTTCGAGAAAATAAAAAGAAAAATCATGAAAATTTATGCTTAAATTGAACAATATCGAAGCCTTTTAAAGAAATCAAAAGTAAAACCACAAAAGCTTATAGACATTGTCATGCCATTTATATGGTATATCAAGTGAAATAAAATTAGTAAATTGAAAAGGAACGAGAGAAATTAATGGGGCTAGGATGCAAATACAACCAATAAAATTATGACACGTGTTTAAAACACTTGAATTTCGAAAACTGCAATGCTGACTTGTGAACTTCTTATTGGCTGCCGCACTAACACTCGTTCTACAAAAAAACCAGAAGCCATAAAAAGAACGAACTCTTCAAAAATTCTGGAGGGTTTATCAGTGTCTGCGCGCGCGTTCGTTCGTTCGTCGAGAGGTTTCTACCTTGATCCAGAAAAAGAGCGAGAGAGAATGAGAAGTGATCGATCGCCGATTTTAACGGTTTTAGTTTTCATCTTCTTCCTTGCTTTCGATTTCAGCGACGCACTGTATGGGGCGTCGTCTCCCGTTCTTCAACTAACTCCTTCCAACTTCAAGTCGAAGGTCTGTTTCCAATCTCCATTTCATTTCCTTTCCATTTTGTATGTCTTAGCGAATTATTTTATCTACTATTCTTCTCTTTTGTTGCTTCTTGAATTCTCTCGGAGAAATCGCACTCGGTGATATCTCTGTGGATGTCTTTTTATTTCGGAAATTATCGATTGATTTTTTTTCTTCATTTTTTTTTATCGCAATTGAAATGTGTTTTCGAGTGCTATTTAGTGTTTCTGAGGTTCGGAAACTATCGATTGAATTTTTTTTTATCGCAATTGAAATGTGTTTTCGAGTGCTATTTAGTGTTTCTGAGGTTCGGAAATATTTGGTGTCTTTCTTTAGTGTTGACTATTTTCAGATTTTAGACGATCTCACTATTTATACGTTAGTCGAATTATTGCTTATTCATCATCTATGTGATATCGTTTGGAATCGGATGGGAATGGTATTTGTACGAGATAAGGTTTTGATCAGATCGGCGTAGCGATCTGTTTCCTTTTTTTTCTTTGCTAGATGCAGTTATTAGTTTATTATTATTATTATGACTTTGTTTTCCTCATTTCTATCGTAGTCCGATGTCACAATTCTGGAAATCCGTTTGGTTTTCAAGTTATATTTCTGCATTTGCATATTTGAACTTTATAATGTAAAGTTTGCGATGTAATAGGTTTTGAACTCAAATGGCATCGTTCTAGTCGAGTTTTTTGCACCTTGGTGCGGTCATTGCCAAGCTCTCACGCCTGTATGGGAGAAGGCGGCTACCGTTTTGAAAGGAGTTGCTACAGTAGCAGCACTTGATGCGGACGCGCACAAGTCACTTGCTCAGGTTCATTATTAATATTGTAATCAACGCCATTCAGCAGTTATTTCATAATCTCTTTCGCATTGCTAGCATTTTTTTTGTTGACCTCTTTTCATCAATAAACTTCCATCGCAAACGTGCGATTGTTAATTACTCTCCAAAGAACTAACCTGTGCTCTGCTAGAAGTCATGTCGCTTATGTTAATTATAACCACGTGAATCTATTTGGTGGAGTCATTCCTATCTGTAAATTAAAGTCGGTTGCTACATTTTTTAAGTTGAACCTATTACTTTACTTCTCACTGTTATTGTTTGGATAGATGGAGTTTGATGCTGTGTTACTTAACCTGTCTTGTCTTTCCGTATTCATGGCTTTCCTAGAAAGAGGAAAAGGCTATCAAAACTAAAAGGCTTTTCCTGTTCTATGAATACACATGGTTATTATTGTTTGTACACTTTGAGCATGGATACAATGCAAGGGTTCTCTGGTTGAAAATGACTGCTAAAATGTTAAAGCGGTCACTCTGAGTATCGCTGTGCATCTTCTCTTTCTTGAATGATATCCTTGCATTGATGTTTAAAATATTAGCAGGAGTTTGGATATAAAAATTGAGAGACTTCAGTTAGGCCTATCTTCTCACCCCAGGACCATAGTGTTACTTCTCGTGCCTTTTTATCGCAAGTTCTAATTATGAAACACTTTTTCACCATGCTCCCCTCAATTTCCCTATATTCAGTATGTCGTTGCTTATTTCTGCAGGAATATGGCATTAGAGGATTCCCAACCATAAAAGTCTTTGCACCTGGAAATCCTCCGGTAGACTACCAAGGAGCTCGGGATGTTAAACCCATTGCAGAATTTGCTCTGCAACAGGTTCGCATCGTAACATGTTGGGAGAACGTTCATTTAGAGCATTAACTTTCGTTTCTTCTTGTTTTTGGCTTTTTCATTAGCTAGACAACATCGTAAATATCCTTTGATATTGTTGTACAATTGTGAAAATACTTGTTACATTCATCAGACATTCACTTGATACATTGCATTCGTTTTCTTTTCTTCTCAGGTAAAGGCTCTTTTAAAGGAACGTCTAAGTGGAAAAACAGCTGGAGGAGGGTCAAACGAGAAAGCAGAACCCAGTGCTTCAGAAGAATTGAATTCTCGCAACTTCGATGAGTTAGTGATAAAAAGTAAAGATCTCTGGATTGTGGAGTTCTTTGCTCCTTGGTAAGGACTTGTTATTTTGTATTGTAGAGCTTGATTATATTTTATATTTTTTCCAGGGTGATAATTTCATTGTTCGAATTTATCTTACAAGGTGTGGACACTGTAAACGACTGGCTCCAGAATGGAAGAAGGCTGCCAAAAATTTGAAGGGGAAGGTGAAGTTGGGTCACGTAGACTGTGATGCCGAGAAGGTTAGTCAAATTTCAGCTAATACTTATTTGAGCAAGAAATATTTGGAACTTTATTGAATCTGTCGTATGTATATGAAAGTGTGATGCCAAAAACACATAGCTAAGCGAGAGATGAGAAATGTGATTCTACCGTTTCCTAACTACTCGATTGAGAAGTCTTGCCTAAGTCCTAGACTTGAGTGAACAGCCTGATTTAAAGTCTTATTTGTTTTTGCATTTCTTCTCTTGTGCTATTTTCTTAGTTAGGCCGAAGAAAGTACAAGTTATAACTTTCTTATTACTACATATGGTAGCTAGAGACTAGAGATGAGAGTGTAGGATCTAGATTTGTAACAAAATTCGACTTTGCTTATGCTTGGAATATAATGTGCCACTATCAGTATCGATCGTCAACAAATTGTAGATTTGTAGTGAGATTATGTGGTTCAAATTTATATAGTTGGCCTTATCGGGTCTGTTTGATCACTTGAATGATCATTTTGTCTATCACTTGACTTCGATTACCTGCCAGCCGGATGTTCGTTCCTTTTCTAATTGTAGTTGTACGGCTGACTGATTATTTAAAAGTTTTCAAGTAAAAATCGTATTTTATGCTAGTCCCTTAAAAGTACATTTAGAACATTATTGTACAGAAAAACATCCCGAGGAATGTACTGTTTGGAAGTGAGTTTTTAATTTTAATTTATTGTTATGGCCTTTTAGATAAAAAATCAAGTGAAAACATATTTGATTTATTTTTATGGATGACCAATTTTTAGAAGCTCTTGAGTTAATTCTTTCATTGAAAATGAAGAATTTGTAAGTGAATGATTCAACAGAAACTCGAGTCTTTGAGTCGCTTGATTTGTGAAATCGTTGGACAGTCCTCTTTTCTATTTCCTATTCATTTTACTTCCAATCTGAGTCTTAATTTACTTCCAATTTAATCGGCAACGGGGTTGCTGCCAGTCTCTAATGAGCAGGTTCAATGTTCAAGGATTCCCCACCATCTTGGTATTCGGTGCTGACAAGGACAGCCCAATTCCTTACGAGGGTGCAAGAACTGCGTCAGCAATCGAGTCATTTGCTTTAGAGCAGCTAGAGACGAATGTTGCACCCCCAGAAGTGACGGAGCTGACTGGTCCTGTAAGCTGCTTGCTTTATATGCTATAATTGGTTTCTAAAATCGTTTATTATTATACGCGTGGGAGTATGAATCTTATTATCTCACTTCTATAGGACGTCATGGAAGAGAAATGCGCCTCGGCTGCCATATGTTTTGTTGCTTTCCTGCCCGACGTTTTGGATACCAAGGCCGAAGGAAGGAACAAGTACCTCGAGCAATTGTTATCAGTTGCAGAGAAGTTCAGAAGAAGTCCCTACAGGTAACTGTGTATAAGAACACATACCCACTACCACATTCTTTGAAGTCAAATTCTTGACAACTGGATTTCACAGTCTTCTATATATTAATGGTCTCAATAATAGTAAATAATAATAATAATAATAAAAAGACCATAGGAATCTGAATTAACTGTATATTACTCTGCAGCTATGTTTGGGCTGCTGCTGGGAAGCAACCCAATCTCGAAAAGCATGTCGGAGTTGGTGGATATGGATACCCCGCTTTGGTAGCTTTGAATGTGAAGAAGGGAGCGTATGCTCCCCTGAAGAGCGCATTTGAGCTCGAACATATTATGTAAGTTACAACTTCACATGCCTTCCCACATCAGAAATGTGTAAAATGGCCTTTGAAATGATTATTTTTCATACAGCGAGTTTGTAAAAGAAGCTGGCCGTGGAGGAAAAGGAAACTTGCCCCTTGAAAGCTCCCCTGAGGTCGTGAAGACAGAGCCATGGGATGGTAAAGACGGGGAGGTAATCGAAGAGGACGAGTTCTCGCTTGAAGAGCTCATGGGAGGTGAAAATGAGACTAACTAAAAGGAAAAGCTATGAACAAATTGAAGCTTTAGCAGCAGTGAAGAACTGAGTTAAAGAGATGATGATCAACACATCGTAATGGGTCGGTTCGCTGTTTGTGTTCCTAATGTTTTTTTAAATTAAATGACACTCAGCACGACGTAATGGTTCACATTGCCATCACAAACATGAAATGAATAGCCTTTATTGTTAGTTCTATAAACAAAACA